AAGTTTTTCACGGGTAAGTTAATATCTCGAGAACCACTGAGTCTAGGAGGCTGAAATTTTAGGGCAATGACCCTCTGCCCACGCTCAACCTTGCCCATTCAAATTCAACCTTCCCTTACTCGCGGGTAACACGTCCAGCCTCGTGAAAGTTTCCACGGGTAAGTTGATATCTCTGGAACCACGGAGTTTAGGAGGCTGGAATTTTGGGGGGATGACCCCCTGCCCCCGCTCAACTTTGCCCATTCAAATTCAGCGTTCTCGCGCTTTCGGGTATCACCTACGGCCTCGTGAAAATTTTGGCGGGTAATCTATTAACTCGGGAATCACGGAGAGATATTCACCCTTCAAGGTTTCAAATTCAGCTTTCATGCGCTGGTGCGTGAATTTTTTGACTATTTTCCAAAGTTTGAATTATTTTTGCATAGACATAGACTAAAGTACAAAGCGGTGAAAGTCATTAATAGGCAATCGTTCAATGGGCTGAATTGCACAAAACGCATGATCGCATCCTAGTCTGGTGCGCGTTGGTATTTATCTCTTTTTTTTGTTTGGAATAAAAGGACCATAGAAGGCCAAACCAAAATTGGACGGTCCAAATAGGGCAGCCGATGGAGGGTGAAATTGTCAAGTGGTTTTTTGCGGCCATTGATAGGCCGAACCATACCTTTTGAAGTAACAACCCGTACAAACCAAAGGAAATTCAGGACGGCTGAATTCCTTAAGTTTTAAGAGTGATAGTTGTGTTCTAAGTGCATTGCACTTTTCGCACCCACTATTTGGTCCTGTTTATTGGTGAGCGATTCTTACACAATTTTTTTTTATGATGGATTTGACCTTGGGAAGAGTTTGGTAGTGTTATTAGTGTAGGCAACAATACGGAACCTTGGGAGCAGATTGATTCTTAACCGTTCTGGGAGGCATCACGTGAACTCGATCCTACTTTTACAGTGTGGTCTCGTCGTCTTCAGACCATCTACCTTTTGTGTTTTGCTTAGTTTATTATGTAAAGTAAAAGGCAGTACGGGCCTCAAAGGCCCTGTGAGGGAATGGAAGAGGGTAGTTACCAGGGCCAAGAAGAGGGTAGTTACCGGTGACCTAAGTGTGGCCCGTTACTTGGGTCCTTTTCATCACTGGCTGGCATATTAAGTAGGAATTTGGGGATTGTGAAGACCATAGAGGGACACATTTACTATAACCAACGATATTCACGAAGAGGAGCGGGATTTGGATGTCATAATCACTGGTTTTAGGTGTGCCGCTTTTATATGTTTATTAAGTGCTCGCTTTTAGAAACCAGAGTGATACATGAAGCATTTTTATAAACATTTTTAATAAAATTTTCCTAAAATTTTTTAGTTATCCTGTACGATTTAGCGTTTTTTTGAGCTAATATTTTTTTGAAAGCTGAGGTTAAAAAAACCTGTGTTTGGTGAGGACGGATGGGTACA